TTCTCCTCCATTCTTTCCTCATATGTTTTGTTCTTCACACCCCTTATCATCCTCATTGGCTTTCTCTGAACCTGCTCCAACCTGTCTATATCCTTCTTAAAATGTGGTGCCCACAACTGAGTATGGTACTCCAGATGAGACCTGACTAGCACAGAATATAATGGGATTATATCTTCCCTTGACTTGAAAACTATGCTTCTGTTAATGCACGCTAAAAAGCATTCCCCTTTTTTGCTGCAGTATCACACTGCTGGCTCATGTTAAACTTATGATCAGCAATAATCCCAAAGTCATTTATGCATGTAGTACTACTGGGCCATGTATCCCCCATCCTTTAGCTGTGCACTTGTTTTTGCAGCCTATATGTTGAATTTTATATTTGTCTTTTTAAAATTTCATTTTATTAAATTCGGCCCAAATCTAGTTTCTCTACATCCTTCTGAATTCTGTTCCTATCTTCCAATGTTAGTCACCCCTCCCAGTTTTGTGTCATGGGCGAACTAGATAAGGAGTTGCTCCACCCCATCATCTCTGTCATTGATAAACTTTTTGAAGCATAATGTCCCTAGGGGCAGAACCCTGAGGCACTCCACGCAAGACCTCCTTCCAGTTTGAAGTGCAGCCATTGATGATGAATCTGTGAGCACAGTTTTCCAAGCAGTTTTGGATCCATCTGACAGTGCTATCATCTATTCCACATTTGATCAGTTTGCTAATCAAAACATTCATGTTTTGCTGAAACCCAGATAAATGACAACCACATTATTCCCACCATCTACTAAACTAATGACCTATTTGGGAAAAAAGATATAAGATTCGTTTGGTAGAATTTGCTCTTGAAAAATTCATTCTGGCTCTGCTTGATCACTACATTGTCATCAAGATACTTACAGACAGATACCTGCATAATCCGTTCTAATATTTTTCCTGAGATAGAGGTCAAGATGTCTAGTATGTAGCTTCCTGGATAATTTTTTTGCCTTTTTTGAAGAGGCAGACCACATTTGCTTTTGCCCAGTCCTCTGGTACTTTACCTATTCACCAAGATTTCTCAATAATGATGGCAAGTGGTTCAGAGAGTACATCAGCCCATTCCTTTAATACTCTGGGATGCAGTTCATCTGGCCCTGCAAATTTGAACTTGTTTGGGTTAGTTAGAAGATTCCTGACTAACTCCCTATCAATCTTGATTTGCAACCTTGCCAAGATCTCTGCTGCTGCATTTCCCTCCACCACCTGGATCTCCATGGGTCACAACCATCCCTTTCACACTACACAATTATAGCCCTATGATTTTACTTTAATGCTCATGGTTGTATCCTATGAAATTTAGGGGGTTTGTAGTTTGGTGAGGCACTAGAACTCTCTGGTAGAGAATTCTAAATAAGCTTCTCTAACATGTAATTCCTAGGATTGCACTGGATGGAAACAAGGCAGTTAAATTAGAATCAAAGTACTATAATTGTGTAGTGTGAAAGGACCTCTGGAAGTGATGGAATGTTGCATCTGTTGTTTTTTAAAAAGGCCATTTTAAAGGCCTTTCAAATATGCAGGGAGTTGTAGTAAAATAGATAGTTGTTCCTTGGAGTATTCTGGGGACACAATTGCCTGTTTTTAGGCTGATATTTTGGCAATGGGTGAGTGGGTGTGGGATGAAGGGTACCAGGAATTTTCTGAAAGGCAAAACATCTGGGCTCAAAGTAAGAATCAAAGCACTTGGGAACATGGGATAACGTACATTTCCAGTTTTCCTGGTTGCAAATCTTTGGTTTATTCTTGATGAAATATCAGAAGCCCAAAGTACAGCTAAATAAATTTAGCTGGAGTCAGACCCTGAATCTTATTACTCCGCATAGCATTTTGACTTTCCCATAACTAGCAAAATAAATTTAAAAAAATCAAAATTCAGCAATTTTGAACAAATTATGCATATTAAAAGAAAATATGGAAGTATAAGAAAATTGAGTTACTGGCACAAAGTATTTTTTTTTAAAAAAAGCAATTGTACATACAATAACTTTGCTCATAGTGCAGTATTTATAAAAGATGTTGCATATTTATCCCTCTGTAGATTTGTGTTAGAAAGAAACACAGGTGTTTTCACAGTCGTTGTCCCCTCCTTTTTGGGCATGGACACTACAGCTTTATATAACACAGTGAATGTGTTTACTCAGAACTACTTCAGGCAAATACCCAGAAAGCTGGTATTGTGAGGGAGCAGATGCTAACATGGAACTAATCATTGATGGATTAGTAATTTTTACTGAGAAGATGATACTCCTTTGCTTGGTAGCTTTTTTCAGTGTAATAAATGCTCTTTCTGATATAGTGAGGTAGGAAATAGAGCTCTCTTGGGGTTTCAATAGGATTACTTCACTTCCCTGACTAACAAGGGGACCATCTGTAACCTGAGAGCTGACCCCTGCATTTTTAGCAGCTTCAAAAGCAGCTTCATTTATATACCGCTTCATATCACACTATTTAGCATCCAGGAGGTAACAGACGGTGCATCTACGCAGTAGAAATAATGTAGTTTGATACCATGTTAGGTGTTATAGCTCCATCCTGTGAAATTCTGGGCCTGTAGTTTTACAAGGTCTTTAGGCTTCTCTGGCAAAGAGTGCTGGTGCCACAGAAAACTACAGATTCCAGGATTCTGTAGGATGGAGCCATGGTCGTTAATTTGGTGTCAAATTGCATTATTTCTACAGTGTAGATGTGCCTTGCGATGGTTCTGTAACAGAACAAAGTAGCTACCTCAAGTTGCAAAGACTAGGAGACTGGGAAGTCAGAGCTGTGAGTGCCCCAAGACCTTCTCTGCAACCCCTAAACAAGGCAGCTGCCCTGAAGTCTAGTGGAGTATATTCACTCATACTGGAGTAAAACTCAGCTTACCGTTTGGCTGGTTTCTTATCTAGATATAGTGTGTGTGTGTGTGTGTGTGTGTGTGTGTGTGTGTGTAAAGGGGGGGTCACCATCTTAGATTTAAACTAAAGAATATATGACTGCTAGGGGATCCCAAAGCATGGTACCTGCTTCCTTCTCCTTCTAAAATGTGCCAACACTGTGAATGAATATAGATGGGGCATTTACCAAGTGATAACCAACTGGACAGAGGTAGTTCTCTGTATCTTTGGTCCCTGCATGAGAGAAGAATTACATACTTCTACTTTAGAGCTCAGAAAAGTTATTTGTTGATTACAGCTATCATTAGAATGGTCCGCCCTCGAAGGCTTATGGAGCCAATTGGATTCC